ATTATTATTATTAATGTTCCTAACCTAACCTCAATTTGTAAACGCAATCACGTCTTACACACGCACTCTAAAACACTATCTTTTTCAACAACACTCCAGAAACACTTGAAGTTAATGTTGTATAATCTAAATCCCGATTATGTATATTTTCGGCATCATTAATATTTCAAAAAATGTGACCAAACTGCAAACATGAACCAGTATTTCATATTACAAGATGTTTAAACTGTCTCAACTGTGACATCAAGCACAGGATGATCGAAATGTATTCCACTGCACAGCTGAATGAGCACTCCCTGGGAACAGACCATCAAGTTGATGACAAAATATCAAATTTCCAGAGAATAAATATTTTAAAAATAGACATAATATAAAGTAAGTGGTATTTGTTTTCAAATGCATTAAAGTTTTAGAGTGATACACCTGAACCTTCATTTTAATAAACTTTTGTCGAAGTAGAGAATGATGTTCACCTGAGGATATCGAGTCAAAAAGGATATAACAAAATTAGTTGTTTTCTTAAAGAATTAATCATTCACAATCATGCTAATTAAAACAAAGGGATCAGTGTTTTTAAAATAAGCATTTAATGTATATTTTCGAAACAGGAACAGAAGTTTTGCTAGAATTATTGAAACAGAACAACTATGTCACATTCTTACCACAATAAGAATGGAGTTTTGTTTTCATACCTTTTCCATAAGACAATATCAGTCATTCCATTTTTTCTCCTTCAACATCACAGCAGCGCCACTTAATAATAAGTCCACACGTTGTACCCATAATTTACTACAATTTGTTTGATTTTCACTATAATTATTCCTCCTGGAAAAATATGGGTACATTTGTTTCAATTCAAAATTGTCCACTTGCATAGTTAAACCTTCCTTTTGTTCTTCCTGATTTTTAGTGTTCAAAAACAGAGAACGCATGGCTAACAATGTTGAAAAATTTGGTGGGAACAAATAATGGGAATTATCCAATTTGACACCAGCATCTTCATCTGCCACCAAGGTTTTGTTACTTGAATTAAGAGGAAGGAATACATCACAACTTCCATCATTTTTTGATTCGATTTTTTTGATTAAATATTTAATTATAAATTTATCTTGACAAGAAATGGTAGAATCCTTCATTAATTCTTTTGAAACAGGTAAATTTACCTTTGCATTTAATAACTTCAGAACTATAACAACATCCTGAACAAAGGCATGAACAATTTCCCTAATTTCTTCAGTTCCATTTTGTTCATTCTCATTCAGCATGAATGCTCCTAGAAAAAATTTATTGTACTCGCTGTCTGAAAAAGGCTTAAACCTCCTCTCTGGAATTGTTTTGTTGTAACACATCTGTGATTTCAGAATATCACTTAATTCATGAACGATATTTACACATGAACCATTTAAATTATTTATTGATATATTATTTTCCTTGCAAATCTGCACAACAGACTCCCAAAGTAATGGTATATTGACAGGATTACTAGGGCGTATTATATTTCTATAAATTGATCGAGGCAATGTATTATTTGCCTTAGACTGGGTAAGAGTACAATACCTAGTCCTCACAGAAACTCTACTTCGATTCACAAAGTGCATAGATATTTTTATCCAGTTCCCAAATCCATATTTTTTCACTAAATTTATCAATAAAGCATCTTCCTCAGCTGACCATTTCTGTTTGGGAAACTGACGTTGTTTTAATACAGAACATCTCATAGCAACCTGTGAATCTGTACGATCAGGAATGTACTGTGCAATTCGTGAATATTTACCCCCAAAAGTTCTCATACCAGCTAACAAAATAATATCTTCTTCAAGTGAAAATGTTGAACCTCTTGGACGATTTATTGTATTCCAGTTTTTAAGAATTTCTACTGCACTAATACCATCCATAAAATGTTTAAGCTTTAGCCATTGTTTGTAACCTTTACATGTAAATAGTTTGACATTATACTTCAATACATCCATTTCTTTTTCACTCCATGAACATTTTTTCACTTCTTTCAAATGTTGTTGGTAATGTACAAAACTCAAAAACATAGATCGTTTCGTTCCTAATTCTCTCACAATTTTCTCCCAATCCTGACCCTCATACTGTAAAACCAATTTTTTCAATTTTTTATTTTCTTCTTCGGACCACTTCTCATTATTTATATTAGGATGGAGGCATAAAAACCAAAAATACCGACATTCTTGCGGGCTGTGAGCATAATTTAAACAGGAAACTGAAATGTCCAACCAATCGTACTCATCATATCTTGATTCAATTAATTCTTCAAGTTTCATTTCTTTAACTTTAGCCAAATGAAGCATTCCATACGATTTTAGAGTCTCTGTCCATTTCTCTTCTTCAACTTTTCTGATGAACTTAACTAGAGCACTTTTCTGGTGTTCACTCCATTCCTGGTACATTTTCACTTGGTATGGATTAAGGAATCCCTGAACATTTCTGATCGAAACATCTTCATTAAAAGGAGATGAAATATTTTTGTCATCCTTGAAGTAAGGTGCACAAAGAACTCTCTTCATACAGCGATTTAATGGTTTTTGAGGAGTGACTTTCTTTCTCAAACACAAATCAATATTTGCATTTACAATTTGTTGTTCCGAAATACATTTATCTAATAACATATTAATTGACGATTTTAATTCAGTCAATAGTGAATGACAAATTTCATTTTTCTTTAAACATTTTTGTAAGTAAAGCAGCTTTTTCTGTCTCTCAAAACTGTTCACAGAATCAATGTTACATGATTCTTCAGTGTTCATAAATGGATTTTCAATTCTTGAGAATTCCATTTTTATGTATGTTTCCAGAAAACTGGCAAGTTTATGAACATTATAAAAAACAAATCTATATCACAATCACAAAAACATGTAATGAAATATGGTTTGTGGAACATCGACGAGTTGAAAATAGAACAACTGATATTAGGATCTGCAACAAAAATTCTCATTATTGTACCTTAACTTGCAATTTACCACAAATTATACATACTTGCAACTTTCCATTTCAGTTTGACAATAATTACATGTCATTGCAATGACTTTTATAAGAATATTACAGTCATTGAAGTAAGCATCACACTATTTTGTTACCTTGCATTTTAAAAGATTTCAATTTGCTTGCCAAAAATGATTCTCTACAAGTTAGATTGGTTTTGATTTGAATTGAATTTTATATAAATGAACCATCACAAACCAATCCCATCTTTGAAGTAGTATTTACAGCAATCCACACATTTATTTTTTAAACAACAAATTTTTAAACCACTTTCATATAAAAATGATTTAAAGCATGGAACCATTCTGATTAGTTTCTAATAGGCTTTTTCATAACATTTGACTAATTTCACAAACAATTTATATTTCACTACTTACATTACTTAGCATTATCAAGATCTGTCGTTTATGTTATGTTCATAACATCCTGAATCTCAGCCATTCATTCCCCACCAACATATGTACACACTGCTACACACGGTGTAAGCCTTACACTGTAAGGGCCGGTTTCGCCAAACAAGGAGGAAGAGTTTACTCTGGTGTAAATGATGTTTACTCGAGAGTAACTTTTAGGAGCGTTTCACCAACACTTTACTCGAAAGTAAATCAGTTTACACGAGAGTAATTAAAGTTGATACATATATCAACACAACCAGGGACGTGAAATGCGTAAAACTTTGAGATGAAAACGGGGTAATGATTTCTACGCCTACTACCGTACTCGCAGCGTACTCGTGCAGAGAGCGGGACAAATTAAGTGACGTCATGCTATTCAAAACGCTGGACAATGTAGGCGGTGGTTTTGATTCGTTATGTGCAGGTTACGTGTTGCTCAGGTGCTGTTTTCTAGTCAAAATTTTCAGCATTTTGTTAGTATTTAGAATGTCATGCCTTTCACGTAGAGTGAATCGTTCAGCAATATTTATTTGCCGTGTCTAATACTTTGTTTTCAGTTTTTTGGAAGATGATATTGAGAAGACTGATGGTACATAGCTAGGATTTCCGCCCATTTCCGCGGTATTTATTATTAATTTTGAAACTTGGCACATTATTGTATTTGATTATTTTATTTGTAAGCATGTTCACCATGCACAATAAATAATCTTGAAAATCCTCGAACATAGATAGTATGCTATGGAGGGTAAGCTAACTTAATTACATGGGTCATTTATTCTGAACTATTTTTTAAAATGTATTAAAATTAGATTATATATTTACAACTGATCACTTCTTATAGTATTGGCAGAGTTATGTAGTAATATATACATTGCTTGCTATATCCACATTTAAAATTTCTCATTTTTAAATATATATTATTCATTTTAATTTGAATTTCTAGAATATGTAAGCTCCTGTTAGTTTATGACAAAATGTAATTCATTTAATTTCTTTAGCTGTACGAATTACATTTCTATGAAGATGTGAATCAAGTTGTATGATTTGAAGAGGACTGGCAAGATAATATCAAGTTTGACTTCGACACTAGAAGATGGTAATGTAACAACAACGTATCCTACATGCCCAGCTCACATGTCTCTCAAAGAACATTCCAATAATATAAAATTCCTAAGTGTGTCAGTGAAGAATTTTTTCACTTGGAAGTTGCGGTTGGTGCTAGTGTGAATGATGAAATGTATTATAGACAAATATATTATTTCAGTAGCATATATGTTGAATAATACTTGCTGCGTTTAGAAACTAGCCTAACAAACATGTAGAAATTTGTGAAATAAATAAACTAATTTGGAATGTGTGAACAATTTAAGAATATTGTTTTTGAATTTCTAATAAATGAATCTAGTACATAAAAAGTTAATTTTGAAAATTTAAAAATGTTAAAGGCAATGTCGAATGTACGCAAAAAATGTTTTCACATTCTTCAGCGCTCCAAGACATTAATGTTAAAGATATTTTTTTAATTAAATGTTGATCAAGTATGGCAAATGGTACACCGATAGAGAAGTTGGACAGCAGGAGGGGAGGGTGCAAGAGGGAGGAGACTCCACCTTCCCTTCTTCCCCTTCACCAACCCTTCCCACCATCGCCTTGCTTCTTTAAAGGTGTACTGTGTCCCCTACTTTAACGATGTACTTATATTGTGTATGTGTACTTATATATTCATTGCGTACTGAATATATAATTTAGAAATAGTGTATATGAAATAATTTTTTATTTTGCACTTGAACAAAATTTCCAACATTGAATTATAATTCAAAATACTATTAGTTTTTCGCTTATATATTAGCTTACGCATTAATTTTTACGTAAATTCCATTCTATTTAGTATATAACTATGTCCGCTATATTGAAAATTTGCTAGGTAATGTAATTTCAAATGTCCCGATCCACGTCCGTCGTCTATTTCAATTGGTAAACCATCTTTCGACGCTTATTGGCTGGCGGTGGGCGTAAAAGGCTGCTTCTGATTCGTTGCTGCTGTCGGGGTGGTGGATTCATAAAATAGAGATATGTATCTCCTCTATGGGTGGATTCGAGTTTCTCCCATAGACGAGAGATACAACTCATCTCAATGGTTTCTCCCCTCCACGAAATGAAGGGCTTTTCGTTTAACAAATGGGTGCCATCATATATATATATATATATATATATAATTTTTTTTTCTCTCTGACTAGGGACGTTCCGATTCCGAAACTGATTCTTTTCTTTCGATTCCTGTGGAATCAGTATTAGATTCCTTTTTTTTATTCAATAATACTATTGAAATAAAGTAATGAAATGTATCAATGAAACAATATATTAATAGAACACAAATGAAAAATATAATATAATATCAACAATAGTATGAGCTAATGATTTCAAGAAACACTTCACACAATGCGATCCAGAGAGAATTTTTTTTTTTTAAATTGAGATACTAAAAATGTAATTTTAACTAAAAGGTTTGTTTTGGAGGAAGCGAAAGGTGGAGACATAGTCGGAAGTAGAATTTATACACGATATAGTCCTCTATAAAATTAATAATAAAGTAATAACTACATAAATAATAAAACAAAAAAAACTCAAAAAATAGTAAAAGTGCACGCCTTTTTTTAAAAAAAGGCCGAATATATTCGATTCGATTGCGACCTTTTGGAATCGATTCCATCAAGAATCGAAAAAAAAGGAATCGAATACTGATTCCACAGGAATCGAAAGAAAAGAATCAGTTTCAGAATCGGAACGTCCCTAGTCAGAGAGTATTAGAGATGGCACCTATTGTTAAACGGAAAGCCCTTCATTTCGTGGAATGGAGAAACCATCGAGTAGAGATATACTAGAGTGCGCAGAAGGCCCAGCCGGGTATCAACATCTCTCGTGCCCAAGTCACGTGACTTTGGGACAGCTAGGAGGCATCTGCTATACACCCGTCTTGTACTAAATGATTTCT